AAGGTAGACGCTCCCCCCCCCCGCCCCCCAAAGTGTGTGGAGGAGTGGGTGAGAGAAAGAAACGCATAGAAACGATCTGGGATCTTTCTGAAATCCACACTCAGCTACCTGCTAGAGCTTTGAAGCAAAGGCACAAATGGAGATGGGAACAGATGTTTCTCTTTAATACACCCCTGCATTCTAATTCCCAGCCTCCTTTAAAAACACCGGCGAGCTGAGTTTGGTACCGTTTAACCTATTATTTGGTCTTAATTAATTGTCGAAAAAAGAGAGCGGAAACATACAAACCATGCCAAATAATACAGATTAAGTGTGATTGCATCAGGTGCTAAACGCAGCCGCCCTGTGCTAATCACCCAAACACAATTCCAATTCCCCTATTAGCAAGAGCAAGGTTACCTCTCTATTTAACAGGTAACATGCTGGCCCTGTGTAAATGTGTACACTGAATTTAAGAAAGGACGCTGCTAGCCACAAGTGCCACACATACACACACGCCAAACCCGGAAAAGGTATCAAAACGGGGGTTGTTTTCAATGTTTCCTGAAAATGTGCACACCTCAGAATTTAGAAATGGAAATAGTAAAGACAATTCTTCCAACGGTCTTGCAAAAAAAAAAAAAAAAAAAAAAGCCTCGGGAAAACCATTGCACGACGACGTGGTGCAAATCCCAAATCATGTTTTTAAATAACCACGCAACTACTCCGAATCAAAGGGAGGGGAGAAGAATTGCACACAACTCTTTTTGCGCGTCTAAAGAAAAGTTATAGGAATTTTCTTTAAAAAAAAAATCATTTTTAAAAAATGCCTAAAAAAGCATGTTTTAAATACTCGCCATTCGCAAAGCACACCCTCCCCCCATCTCCGTGCCATACCATTGCTATGAAAGAAGAGTAATAATTAATAATAAATAATCACCTCTTTCTAGGATGGGACCTTGATCCTTAAATATTGTCCGGTGGGGAAGGTCGGTGTGCAAAGGGTTAGGCGCGGAGAGGGTTGATTTTTCTTAAAGGGGCAGATCAAGGAAAGGCTGTGATGGTGCTGGGGGGGGGGGGAGATAAGTGATCTGAAGAAGAGGATAGGACCAAAAAAAAACCCCTGATGGTGATGAATACATTGGAAAGTTTTTTTGGCCCTGGCGAGGGTGTCAGATTGAATGCTCTGTGCGCATGTGCGAAGGTGTCCAAACTGACAATGCTCGGGAGATGAAGATAGTGTGTAGCTGCTTCTGGGCTCAAGGAGAAGAAGCCACAAGCCGACAAGATGAGATCCAAGGCGAGGGCGAGAAAGCTGCCCAAAAGTAGGTCCTTTCTTTCCCTTCTTCCGCTTCCAGGGTCCCCCTCCCCCCCGGGGTCCCGCAGGATCTGCGCCGCTGGCGGGCTGGGCGCTGCGAGTCGCTTGGGGGGGGCCGGAGCCCCCTTTTCGTGCCCTTTCTCCTGCCTAGCGCCCAGATGAGAGAGCCCGGCTGTCCACCCCTTTTGGGTGTGTGTGAGCGGCTGGGTCCGGAGACGCACTGTGCGGAGCCGAGCGGCGGCTGGCGGTTTCCTGAGGGCTGGGGGGGGGTCTGTCTTGCACCCCAGAAGCGCTTTGCTGGGGTGCACCCCAGAGGAACTGGAGGAGAGCAGAGCTGGTAACGAAAGGGGGGGGGAGAAGCGAAAGTTCGCTGCAAAGTTGACGAAAGGGGATAGCAACTTTTTTTTATTGAGTCGTTCCAAGTCTTGTGAAATAAAATATTCCTGGCTCTTGAAATAGTGGGCGCTAGAGGTCTGCGTTTGGCACCAGCCTTCTGAATCCAGAGAGAGGGAGAGACTTGGTGTTTGTGTGAGAGAGAGACCCCAGCAGTCTAAGGGACAGTTAGTTAGGAGAGAGAGTGAGAGAAGAAGGGAAAAGAATTTGTATCAAAATGGATCCTTTTTTCACCAAGGCTTTGGATTCGCAGACTCCTCCGGGGAAGACATTGACACAGAAAGATTTAGACTCGCTCAGCTAAGGGAGGGGGGCAAGAAAG